TATTTATTTGTTATATGTGTTAAATATGAAAAAACCCGAATATTTTCCCATTCGGGAATTTTCCCCGGGTTTTTTCCCGGTTTTTTCCCATATTCGGGTTTTTTCCGGGTAAAATCCCATCTCTATTGACGCCTAAGCGCTTACGACGTCACAGGTTTACTTCTATTGAAGTTGACGGCGCTAGTGTCACTCGACATCTTGCCATTACGTAGAGATGGGTCTAGCAATATCGAAAACCCTCAGTACATAATAATTAATTTTAATGAAATGATTTGATAGGTAGATGTACATTAATTTTGAAACGCATTGTAATACGTTATTTACTGACCGGAATTTCTTTTTATTCATAGAATTCAAAAAACTATTGGATGGAAAAGAAAACAAATATTATAGTAAATAAAGATTCTAATGAATGCTCCTTACGCGTCACATCACTGGCCTACTTGATATGAAGTCGTTGGCGTGCGGGATATAAAATTATTTGAAACCTTTTATGTTTTACCTTTTTAAAACAGAAAATAGTCTGTTTTGCATGAGAAAAAATAGTTCGTCGTGTCCATATTACAAAATTACAAAGAAACAAATGTTTTATGTATCGTAAATGTATTTTTTATAGTAGGTAGATACAATGAACTTCTATAGAAGTAGTGGCGTGGACGGCACGAAAATCCTGAACTTCTATAGAAGTTGTTGGCGGCGAAAAGGTTAGTGCAGTAGCGCCACCCTCAATGTGAATCCAAAATGATATAGGTACTGGGCACGCTATAGTTAGAACATTGAAATATGAAGTTTAGGAATAAAATAAAAAATAAATAGCCGAAACATATTTTGTCAAAAATTGTAAACCACTCTGTACACACTATAGATGCATTAATATAAAGTTTAGGAATAAAATAAAAAATAAATAGCTGAAACATATTTTGTCAAAAATTGTAAACCACTCTGTACACACTATAGATGCATTAATATAAAGTTTAGGAATAAAATAAAAAATAAATAGCTGGAACATATTTTGTCAAAAATTGTAGGTAAACCACCCTGTACCAACAATAGATTTTTTTTTTTTTATTTACTGGGTTTTTTTACAAGAGAAAATGTCCCCCCCGATTATTTCGTACAATACCAACAATAGATGCATTAAAGAGATTTAAATTTTAATTTGAATTAAAAAAGAATGTAGGTCCATACATACATAACATCACGCATATTATCCGCAAAGGGATAGGCAGAGGTGCACATTACTGCATTTACTAATACCACTGTACAATGTAACACCCACTTTTCACTATTTATTTCATAGTCATTGTTATTACATGGGCACAATGGGCACAATTGCCTATTGCCATATACCGGGCACCAAATTTAACTCGTCGAGTACCGGTTTTATAGACACAATTAAAGAACAATAGGTCGCGGTCACCGGTGACCGCTTGGTGTTTGACAGTTTAATGTACAGTTTGGCAAAAAAGAGTTAGGGCTAGTTGAGAACACTACTCTTGTACCGGTGGCAACGTGGTACATAAGACTCTTTTTATTATTTTTATTGAGTTTAAAAAGAGGAGGTAGGTAGGTACTATGTTCGGATGATTGTTTATTTATGGGATATGGTCCGAAGTGGGTGACTCAGTCCAATTTAATATTAGTTTTGACTACCACCGCGTCAAACTCTTTATTGCAAAGCTGGATTTAATCACTATTTTGATTTTTTCTTTGAGTTTGAGTTTCTAGTTTACTACAGATAAGTAGGTAATGAATGAAAATGACATTGTTTCAAAGTATTTAAATGTATTCATATGTAAGTCTATACATTTTATTGCGGAAACATCCCTATTATTATTTAAAAGTTAAAATATTTACAAAGGTTAAACATATACCTAAATATTTACCTATTGTTAATACTATAAAGTTTTCAATATATAAAAATAAAAAAATTCTACATGTCAACAGAACAGTTGAATTTCAGCATAGCCCAAGGGCAAACATAGCCCCCTGTGGATTTTTGACAATACCCATACCTGCGTGCAACTTGAGTCAAAAATCGATCCAAATTCATAGATTTTGGATTGACATTTATTGAAAATCGCAGTTAAAAATCTCCTTATTTTATTATTATGGATATTTTAACTATTAACGATCAAACGTTATTGAAACAAATGGTCGATTCCCTCTAAAACATAAAACAAGCAATATGTAAGTTTCGTTCGCTCAATAGTTAACGGTGTTGCCAAAACGTTCAATAGATGGCGCCCCGTACAAAAAAAACTTCATGACCTAAGGTAGACCTACTATGTAAGTTTTTGGAAAGAAATTATACTTAAAATAACCTGTATTTTTTTCATTATTATGAACAGTGTACCATAGCTTTTGATTTTGAAGCAACCTTCTATGTTATTCTAAACTACAAAAAGTTAGGTGATTTTGAGTTGATTTTAATAAGAGAGTTTAGATCAGTAGTGAGCAAAACTATAACTCGGAAATTATTTAATTTCACCCGTCAAATGTCGGTCAGAATGGTTACAGACACCATTAAGCCCAATCCGTAATAATCAAATGGTAAAAATTGGATACTGGATACTTATTGCAGAAGAGGACAGTTTGGCAAAAGAGTTTGGAATAATTGAGGTCGCTAGTATCGCACCTGTGGCAATCTGGTATATTACGACTCAGTCAGTTTTAATATTTATTATAATTTTTATCGAGTTTAAAAGAGGAGGTACTATGTTCGGATTATTGTTTATTCATGAGATATGATCTGAAGGGGGTGATTCAGTCCAAATCAATGTAGTAATTTTCTTTTTGCCAAGCTGTCCTCTTCTACGAAAAGTATCCATAAATTTTTACCATTTGATTACGTAGGTCCACTGTTAATATTTGGTCATTGTTAAAAAAAATTGACCATTACTAAGGACAAACATGATGTCTGTTACAGATAAATGTCCAAATGGAACACTCTACATTATCAACTTAATCACAAAATATTAAGGTTGAAAATTCAAATTGTTGGGACTAGCTCTGATGAGTTATCTAATCCGGGTATACCAGGAAGAAAAGGAAAGGAAGAAAAATACTAGAAATACTATTTCATAGAAACTACAACTACAATTAGCAACTTCAGAAAAGCTATATTCAGTCTGAGAATTAGTTCACTAAGTTGGAATCAGTTTTTGGAGTCAAAACTATTACAAAAAAATTGCCGTTTGTAATAACATGGATTGTAAACTACCCTCGTCTACTAAATATTATTTTATCTATCTATACTTATCCTAGAACTGTTAATATAGGACCTAATTCTGTTTAGAAAACAGTTTAACCTCTTGTTTGCGATATATAAGACACATTAGAAAACGCATTGTGTCTAGCGTAGATCTACGCTCTATACCAGAGATTAAAGCACCAATCCTTAACAAACAGTGATAAAAATAACATACATACATACATAACATCACGCCTTTTATCCCCGAAGGGGTAGGCAGAGGTGCACATTATGCCACTGTACAATGTAACACCCACTTTTCACTATTTATGTTATGAGTCCCATGTAATAGGGGGTGAGCCTATTGCCATATATCGGGCACAATTCCAGACTCCGTGCTACTACTGAGATTTTTTTAAAAACCCAGTAATACTTTGCCCGACCCGGGAATCGAACCCGAGACCCCTTGCCCGACAGTCGCACTTGCGACCACTCGGCCAACGAGGCAGTGATAAAAATAAAACAAACAGAAATACTTATTATAAGTAATGCTTGACAAATCACAAGTTTTAATTACTGTTTCACTTAAACATAACATTTATACATAAAAGAAAAGAAATTAAAGCTTCTAAAAACAAAAACTTAAAATAACATTTAAAATAATGAAGTAGTTGAACAAATAATAACTACACTACACATGCTCCTTTGTAAGTTGGATGTTTAACGTTACAAAGACTATTTCCACACTATGAATTCAGTCAGTGATGCCTTGCATACTACATTCAAACTTTAATCCATGCTAACTGCAGGCCTGATGCATGTTAGTCCACGATTAGACATGGCCTTCCTCTATATTAGAGGGTTTACCAAAATCTTCACACACATGGCAAGTAGGTAGCATGGTTAGCAGTTAGTTTAAAAGGTTCAGGTTTATAAGAGTGCTGCTACCTAGTCTCTTGTCAAATGTATATTATAGAGATATGATTCACACTAGAGTATGTTCAGCGTAGGTGTTCGATAAACGTATGTACGGCGCAAAGCTGGGCTAACGTAGTGCAGAATAACGTCGAGTTAGCTCATCGTTCAATTGACTCCAAACGAAACGCTGCGACAACACGACGCCTGCGCCGAGTAGTTGCGGCGTCTGCGCTGCGCATACGTTCAATGAAAGCCTACGCTTGACAAACGCTAGTGTGAAAGAGCTCTTAGTCATTAGTTAACTTTTACAACGCCTGCACGAAAAGGGGTAGTGACAAATGTTAAAAACATAAGCAAGTTATATACAAATAAATAAATGTTACACCATACAAATTGTACGGAATGGAATGATACTACAGTATCTTGAGACAAATTAACAATTATTTTATTATCCTAAACTATTTTAAAACTTGGCAGTATATGTTTAGTAGACTAATATAGGGCGAATATTAAAATGCCTAACAAATAAATTGAAAATATTAATATTATTTAAGGCTAAACAAAATACTTATATGCATGTATATCTATCTATATATATCTATACAATGGATCTTTTATAGCTGCACAGATCAGCTTAGTTTTTCAACCAGCCTTTATAGTTCTGGCAACACTAGCATACAATATAATCTTTGATTACAAAATCCTTCCCAAACTTTTCTCATATTTTAACAATGCAATAATAAAATTATGGATATCGCTATAAATTGTTCACACAGTTCAGGGAGAATAATTTTAATAATAAGAAATACAGTACTACCACATACTACATTTATTACTAGGATAACTTTATTGAGATGTAGTTAGTCAGTTTCTTTCCCAAAATAGTGATCATTATCCAGATGACATCTACATACCTTTATCAACTTGTTGCCCAGTTCACTTTAGTTGAATTCATAAATGGCTGAGTACCAACACTTTCACATAGTTACAATTCTCAATCCTCACCGTCCACGATGAAGCTGCTATGACTTCCTGCTTTTTTTCTTAGGCCCCTTTTCAGCCCTTAACTGGTCTTCTTCGTCCATCTTTGAATAATGTGACTGTATATGAGCTAACAGCTTCTTTTCCCTTGTAAAACTTTCTCCACACATATTACACGAGTACTTATCCTTATCTTTACTTTCTTTGATGTTTTCTGGGGCATTTTGAACAGCAGAAGAAGTTGAAATTTGGGATTCTTGAATTATATTATCGGTAGGTAAAACATATGAAGGTTGTAACAATGGGTCTACATTGATAAATGTGAAGAAGCCAGCATCTTTTGGTGGAGCGACATCTTCTAATGTTACCTTAAATGGCTCTTTGGAATCATCATCCTCTCGAACTTCAGGTTTAGATTTTCTTACTCGTTTTTTCGGTACTTCAACAGGTGGGGCTAGGGCTTTCGTTGATATTAGCAATTTACTGGGATTTCCGGTTTGGACTACTGTGTAAGATTGCTTTTTCATGGCTGGTGTTGTAAATGCAACTGTAGGGGTCGCCATCGGTTGTTGGTACATTTGACCAGAATGGGCAACTGTTTGGAATAATCCGACAGGGTATGGTGTTGATTTTTCTTCTAGATTAATTACATCTGGGCTATTCGACTTATGGTTACCTCGCTTAGGCTCCTTCGTTTTTATTTCTGATTCTGTTTCAGATTTACGCTTTTTACTTTTATGATTTTCTACTACTGGAACTGATGTATCTTCTACTAAGGTAAACATGTTGTTTGGGCCTGGCAGCAATTTAAAACGTCCATTCAAGTTTGGTGTGCTAGGTATGTGTACTGAAGGTGTTTGAACATTTGTTGGTGGTGGTTGAGAATCGGAACTATGTGATGGCCCTGGATGAGCATTATCATTTTCCACACGTCTTGTTTTACTGGCAGGTCCAGCTTTAGGCTTAGGTTTCACTACTGGAGCAGATTGAACTCTCTGCTCTTGTTGTTTGTTCTCCTCTTTACTAGACTTCTCACTATCAGTACTAGAACCATTGCTATTTTCATTGTACTTCCATGGCTGTGATTTTTTCGTCGTATTATCAAGTGTAATGTATTTAACTGTCGAGACTTTGGGTACTTCTTGCACAGGCACTGTTTTAGGAGTTTCTACTTTAGGTACTCCATTTTTAGCACAATGATGAGATTCTACTACTTCTTTTTTCAAAAAGTTTCTGTTGCACAATTTACACTGAAATAATACACCTACTCCATTCACTTTTATCATGCTTATATAATCCATAATATTAAATGGTTTTTCAGCTGGCTTCTTGGGTGTTTCCTCAACAGTTTCACTTGGCGGTTTTTCTTCCACATAATCAAAACTAAAGTTATTTATTAGAGCATTGTTCTTGGGTTTATTAGCAGGCTGACTTTCCTCCTTTTGAGGATTTTTAACACTACCAGGCTTTGCTGCTGATTCTACATTATTACTAACTGCTTTAGCTGGTTTACTTGCAGGTACTTTATCTTTATTCTTTAACATTTGTGACTTAACATCTTTAAGACTAATATTACCATCTTCATTATCTGAAACTGTTTCTGTTTTGACCACAGTTGTTTCACTTCTCCGGGTAACTCGTTTGATTGGTGGAGCTGGTTCTTCTTGTGCAGGTGGACTAACAGGTATATTCTTAATACCCGCCATGGCTTTCTTTATTAAAGCATCGCAGATATCATCGTTACTCATATTATTTTTATTTAGCTTCTCTTCCCAAACTTTAACGGTTTTGGCTTTAGTAATGAAAGGACCTGTCTTACCCAATTCTGTCCGTAAGTTTTCTTGTGTTTTAATACATTTTTGTATAAATTCATAAAGTTCTTCTAATTTTGCTGAGCAACGGAAACATATTTTATGTGGGAGATCATCATTTTCTGCAATCTGTAAATAGGTTGAACACAATTTATTACTAACAAACAAGACAATTAGGTACACGTACAATATCTTGGATAAAATCCTCAAAAACCTACTCCATAATATTCTATTACATTGTTAGATCTTGTCCATATTCTTCTGTATAATATTATATTATTAGTATTCTCTCTTCAAACAGCTGATTGAATGTTGTTAATGTTAACAGTAGTAAAGTTTATATTGAATAGTTGGCTATGTAAATAACAAAGAAATGTACATGCTACACTCTTTAGTTTGATAAAACGTGCATATATCTTACCCCAAAAGGCATTAGTTCCTCAATCTTTTTAGCAGTGACTTTGTCAGCATCGAAAATATTCAAAAAAGGTCCATCTTTGCTTTCACACAGTCGACAAACTTTCAAAAAAACTGGTGGAGACGGTGAACTGTACGATTCAGCTAGTACTTTTGTAGTTAAATTCTCAGGAATTGATGACTTCGGCGGTTGTTTCGGTTTAGATTTTACCTTTTTCTTGGCCATCTTGTAATGCTATTATTTGTTATCGTAACCCTAATCTCGTGGCGTTTTCTCGCAATAAACCCTATGTTGCACTTTCAAAATTTAGATGCACCACAATTCATAACATTCATTCAATATTTCGTATAATAAGAAGCAGTTCTTACAAAACTATCAACGAAAAATTACAAGACGTACGAGTACAACATGGCTGGTTAACAAATGTCATCTTTATATCTATGACTTTATGTCAAAATAATCCATAGAGTACACGCAAGTAAATAAACAGAATTAAAGAAAAGTTCAAATGTTAGGCAAAGTTGGTATTATGACACATTTTCAATTCCTAATAATTCTCATATTTATAATAAGATCCTATAATAAAATCCCACCCGGTTTCATGGATCCTATGGATCGTAGTGTGATGTTGTATAGTCTTTCTCGATGAAATGAAGAAGCCAACACAAAATTAATTACCTATTCAATTAATACCTAGTTCTCTAGTCTTCTAGTCTGTAATTGTGTCCGGCATATGGCAATAGGCTCACCTCCTATTACATGGGACTCATAACATAAATAGTGAAAAGTGGGTGTAACATTATACATTGGCATAATGTGGACCTCTGCCTACCCCTTCGGGGATAGGAGGCGTGATGTTATGTTATGTTATTTTATTTTACCAATAATGTTATAACTCAATCATATCAAAACACAGAAGGAAAAGGAAACTGATAAATCTGGAATAAGCAGGGGTTGATAATTATCTGGAATAAGATTTAGGTTACTTTTTATTCAACAGATAGACAGCGAAGCCACCTGCAGAAGCTATAAATGAAATAAAAAAAACTATCTAAAAAGTAATGTTTATTAATATTTCTAATACATATTTCAATGCATATAATATATTAATACTAATGTTCCACATATCCATAGTAATTACTTAGAAGCTTCTTTTAAATAAGCTATGAGGTCAGCGCGTTCTCCCGCTTTCTTCACCCCAGCAAAAACCATTTTTGTACCTGGAATGTATTTCTTCGGATTCTCTAAGTATTCGAAAAGAGTTTCCTCGTTCCAGACAACTGCTTTCGATTTGTTGGCTTCTGAATACTTGTAACCCGGCGCCTGCCCACACTTTCGACCGAAAAAGCCATAAAGATTGGGCCCCACTTTGTTTCTACCGCCAGATTCAATAGTATGACATTGGGCACATCGTTGAACGAAGATTTTTTTCCCGAGTTCAGCATTACCAGCCGGTACGCCCATTTTCCATGATTTAGTTTTTGGAGGAAATTGAAAGGTAACGTGACGTTTACTCACAGCATACAAAACAGCACAAACATCAAACAATTTTGTTTTTTTCAATGACATTGATATCGTTCTGTCTCCACGTGTAAAGAGTTTATTTTAATGCACTGAAACCTTTGCCTCTATACAAGAATTCCTTCATTTCTCCCTCTGGTCCTAATTCGGTGCAGCGGCTAACAGACTTCTGCCCAATCATTTCGCCTTTGTTCCACATGCTAACAGGCAGTCTGCATCATTGAAATGGTAGGTATACTTTGAATTTTTGAGAAACTTTCTGACTTGCATTGAGATGATCTTTCGCTTCACTGGTGATATTTCGAACCCGTTGTGATAAAAGAGCTAACCTACCTTTTTAGAGCGATACATTTATAACTCTTCTGTATCCTTGGCTGTCCTTATTCTATAACAAAACAATCGTACTAATTGATTTAATTAGGATTAAAGATGTATAGCTAATAGTTCAATACTTATTATCTATCGAAATTTTTTTCCTGACTTTTTTAATGTAGCAACATTCTGATTACCCACATCCGCCATCTTGAATTTAGTATTGTGCCAGTCGGGGGGGCGGTGACATATTTTTACCCGTCATCGTCGTAATTTTGTGAATTTGTTGGAAAAACGCGAAAATAAGTGTCGTTACATCGTGTAAATAGTTTATGTCAGGACTGAACGTGAGGATGGCGGGTCAGACTATAAACGATAGGCTTTTGGCCGCCCGCCACAGCATCGCCGGGCAGGGTTTAGCTAAATCCGTTTGCAAAGCTACTACCGAAGAAATGATAGCTCCCAAAAAGAAACATTTAGATTGTAAGTACTGTTATGGTAAAATGCATACGTTTCAGTGTAACTCTCGATACACACATCTTTTTTTGGTCAATAATTGTGACGACGTCGTCGCCACAGCGACTTTGCCAATGGTCGATAACATTTCTATGATATTGAATGTAATCCGTGACGACCGCATTCAAGTTCATAGAAGGCGTACTATGTGTCAATAAAACAATAATAAGATAATGGCAATTGAATTCGCATGTAGTATGTCGAAATATTTTTACATAATGTTGTTTCTCACGATTGTATAGCTTGACACACATTACCTAAGTTATGTCATGTTATACTGGAAATAACGTGCTGGTTATAAAAAATCTGTCTACCTACTTATTGATTTTATGTAAGGACCTATGTAACTAGTGAGGATCAGCTTTAAACATGGTTGCTTCAGTGCTGTAATTGTCTGGCATGACAAGATATTGCTACCTAAGTATGTTATCATTAGTTAGATTAGTAGTCTTATAAAAATAAATACTGTAAAATATACATACTTATGTATATGCTACTTCAAACTTGGTATAATAAAAATACTCAAGCAATGAGTGTTAATCACTATCAATTAGAATCTGATTAGATTATTGTCACTGAGCCTTCAAAATTTAGGTACTTCCTATTTCATATCTACCCTACTCATAAACTTATTTTTTAATTACCAATATATAGGCACTACCTCCCCTTATGTTTCTGATTATTTTTTGTATGACATGTTATTTTCCAATTGGAATCAGCATTCCTATAAAAATGAAAGTTCTACAGATTTTGTATTATCCACATGTAAAGATCTCAAAACTAGATGAGTTGTCAATATTATATTAAAAATATAAAGTACTGTGACGTCAGTCTAGATTACCAAAATTATCTTGAAGTCCCCCAATATAAACAGAATGACTGATTGTTTTATCAGTAACAACAAGAATGTAATTTCATAATATTGTCATAGTACTTCAATGACTGCTATAAGAACCTCACAGTTTACTTTATAATACATAATTTAAACAGTCTGGTTAAAACAGCCTAGACAACTTTATTCTATTAAAATATTTATGATCTTTATTAGATTGTACCTCCAGTTTTGCTTATGTGATATATTAAATAGAGTTATAAATACTCTTAACTATCCGTACCCACAAAAATCATACATACATAACCTCATGCCTGTCTCCCATGGTATTCCATAGTCTCTGCCAACCCCCATGGTTGGCAGAGACTATGGAATACCATGTGCTATGATTCTTACATAGGTACTTCTTTTACTTAAATAATGATACCATAAAGGTGAACAAAAGACAATACATTTAACATACACATTTTCACATTTGTAATATTGGTAAGGAAGTAACAGTATTATATTATTCCATTAATTCATTATTTCTAACCCACTTTAATAATGCTAACTTACAAGAATCATACAAGTCTTTACCTTGACAATAAGATAGAAAAAAATAATCAATTTCCTTTTAAGAAGTACTTCAAAGAATCCTTTAAGATATTGTTCTATGAATATTGAATTAATTCAACATTGCTCACATGTTCGTATGAAACATTTACTGCTAAAATATTCCTGTATTAACATGCCACCAATGTGTTGTATAAGTCATCCTTTAACTGCATGTCTGGCTGAATGTCTGACACCCCATATGCTTTACTGGTACAGTGATTAACAAGTGACTAGTCTACAAGTTAATTAATGAAACTGTTTTTTGCACTGTTGGTATGTCAACAGATTAAAAATGGATTAGTTGATGCAAACCTTTTTGTTTGACTTGGTCAATATTTGGAGTTGAATAACCTTAGTTGGTTTTTCATTATCTATGTACAGTTAGCTAATATTATTAGACATATTTGTCATTATTAAATATTAGCATTTTCTTTAACTTGTTATTTATCGTTATTTTATTCAACATGTTTTATTTGAAGATTTTATTTGAGTAAGCATGGAGGTCTATACATGTGTTTTTATTTTACTGAAACAACAATTATGTTTTGCTCTACATAATTATCTATGTGAAAAGTACAATTCAGCACAATACAGCATATATTTAGTGTAATATGTACTGAACATTTAAAATTATCTAATCAGCTTCTTAACAGGTTTCTGGCACTTCAATGCATTAAATGATTAGGTAATGTTACAGTTCTTGAGTCGGCCAATATCTAGTTGAGGACTATTTCCATAAAGTTGTGTACAAAGTGTTGATAACTCACAGTGTTTATTACAAACCATTAGCAAGTTTTCATTCATAAATATTGTTTAGCTTGTTCAACTACTTTTGGGCTTTAGGGTATTAAACTACTTTTATAAAACCTTTATGTGGCTGCTCCGAGTTAAATAAGTATATTTATACTAAGTTATTGTTATTTATGTTTCATTCTCAGTTAGCTAGTGCCATTTACGCATTAAAAAGACGAAGTTTAGCATTATGACGTTCATTATTGGATAATATAAGGAAATAACAGAAATAGCAAGTTCCCATTGTACTTTTGAAGTTGAAGACTGTACAGTCATAATGTTTTTAATATTATGCATTACGCAAATAAATAATTAAAGTGGCATTTATGACGATGAGGAAAACACAAATTCTCATTTAATTTACTGTTTTAACATAATATTGATGAATTGTTATGACTAAATAATTCTGTGGCTTAGTGAAAGGCATACAGTATTGTGTCTATACATAGTTATATGGTCCACTGCATGTTGTTTGTGTTGTAGCTATGAGGGATATTGTGTAGCTTCAGCTTTTGTTATATCTCGATGAGAATAGCCCATGTATGTGAAAGTCATGTTGAACCAGCAGAGTGTGACAATATCAATAAAAAAAACTAGTATCTTCGCGGATTCTGGCCTACATTTTATTCTTAAGTTTTGACCTACCTGGGAAATTAGGTTAGTTGTAGTCGTAAATACAAAGATTACTGTCATACCCCCTTTGCATAACTTCTTCGACTTAGTGTCAGTTTGCGTAGTGTCGTGGCGTGTGAAGTATGTATAAAACACCATATAGCTTAGAAGCCATAAAGAAATTTTAATGTTCAATGGTTATGTTAAGGTTCCTTGGTAGGTTATGCTGAAGTGCTATTACGTATTTTAAGTAGTTATTCATTGAATGCTAGGGAAAAGAACACCCACTTTTTGCTATTTACAACTTTGTTGGTATGTAATTCTATATGTAGGAGTGGGCGGACCTACTGCCATTTATCTAACACAGATACTAAAAAAGAAAGAAAAAATAATTTCGAATAAACGTGAAGCAATCGCCTTTGGATTGCTAAATCAACGATGCAAAATTGTCTTAATAACTTTACGAATAAAATAAATTGAAGCGGGTTTTCCGGCGTCATTCGGTTTCCAATTTACGTTATGTTTTTTTGTTCAATCCAACAATCCCTTATTCAGGGATCAAAAGATTTGCGACAGATTTCTTTTTCAAGGGTATCCATTGTTGGTATCGTGTTCAAATTACTGATATTCTCTCTGTAACAGTTGGATGTTACATTGTATCTGTTCGGGACGTTAATTGGTCTGATTGGAGTGAAATACGATAAGCAGGACAGGCTCGTTTCCTGTCCAGCTATCATATCAAATTGTCGTACTGTTCTCTGGAAGCTTCGGAGTTAGATAGTATTTATTTATATTATTGTTTACAATCAATGCTTCCTCCGAAATTAATTTACGTTTATGGTTAGTAACCGCAGAATTAATTTGTTAGCCGCAGAACTGATAAGATATGCATGTGGGAATTGTCATTCAAAAATACTACGGTACATTAATTGTTGTACCGGTGCCATGTGGTTCACCAGTTAACACGGTAATGCTGGTTAACGATCCGTTAACTTGACCGACCGCAACTTGATACCCGTAAAAATCTTCGATAATGACCTGATTTCGTATGCCTTTTACCCAAGTAGGTACAATACCCAAAAAGTTGGTAGAGGACCCTTTTTTTACATTAAAAGTAATTAACGACATTGGGACCTGTTATCTAATTTGCCTGTATTCTATATCTGAGCTTGGACTGACATTGATCGCTATCCAAAAATACATAACCAATTCTGGAGTTCTAACCGAACGTTTTTAGCTCTTCGTTGAATGAATGGATGTTTCTCTAATTATGCAAAACACAAAATGCTATTAGAATGTAAATCGAGAGTACAGTATCTGAATATTTGATGCCGTTAGACGTGACCAATGCAGATTAAAGTGTTTTATATGCGTTTTGTGTCATTCATCGTCATGTTGTGTCTCTGAATGAAATGATACTGTATGGAATGGGACATACATTAAAAGTAACCTTAACTTTTAGCCGGTTTTAAAGGGGGATTATATTTCATATTTTTCCATGTTATAGACAGAGAGTCCAAAAATAATACCAATCGCTTTCTCTTCGTTGTATCAAAATATTTGCAATAATACCAAAATCTTAGTCATGATTTGTCATAATAGGAATAACCCACACTGACCAATTCTCTGAAATCCTAACACATTAGACCACTTACAGAGTAATTAAACCTAAAATAGATGTGAGCCAATTCTATGAAGGCACTGAACCCAAGAAAGGACTAACGAAGACTGGCTAAAACAAACAGTATAGTGTTTCTAGGCGTGTGTAACTCAATATATTAAGAACTCGACAAATATTCCCATTTGAGCTATCTAGGCGTCGCTGCTATTTTTATTAAGGGTCAATTAATTTGTTTTTCTAGTGCCATTTTTACATTGGACCAGACGATTCAGTTTATTGGGTCAACAGATCGATTACGAGTGGTTTGGAGCTGATATGAATAGCTAAGAGATACCTGGAATCCTAAATTGCTAGACTTTTTAAATGTCTATACTAACTTTCACTGTTACGTAGATGTTAAAGAATAATAAAAGACCACACTGAAAGGGTAAAGTTATTGATTTTCTGAATTGAAAATAATATTTAACCCAAAAAGGTCCTTAGGACTTGCGTATACAGCTTTGAGATTAACTCTCCGCGTGGACTGTTGGACCGTTTTGACAAATGAGATGTGTATCGATCCGTCTACATTCGCAGACTAGGTCGCCAGACCGCCAGGGCGGCAGGCTGAATATTAGCTATTCAGCGTTAGCCAGACTTTAATCTCAACTGTATAAAGTGAATAAAATTCCTCGATTTCTTCTAGAATCTGGTTTTAACAAACATTTGGAAAAGAGGGTTCTTAGCAAGACTAGCTTTATTGGCTCAACGTTTAGGTTGAGATTGCAATTTGCCAAACTGTGACGTCATACCACTTGTTATTGGACGCAAGATTACCATACAAAAGCATTTATTCTCTAAATAAAATTCTTGTAGTCGACCGTTTGTCATTTTTATTGCAACGTCTTCCGTTGTATTTAATTATTTATTTTTCCCAGACAGTGGTAGCCTTTCGGCCTATGAAAGCTATTGTTTGTTACGTTGTTACTTTGTAATAGAGTTCTCATTGAGTAACGTCTTACTTTCTATCTGATATGAGGTTAAATTAATTCATTATTCATCTTTATTATCACCGAGGAAAATAAAATGGGCTTTATGAACCAATCACGCCTTTTTGTTACAAACAATATTATTAACTTTATCTAACCTTTAATGCATTCATTTGATAGATATCATTGAAGTAATAACAGATATGAATAATTTATCGATCGATAACCCGAAATAAGGATAAGATGCGGCTGACTCAAAATTTTCATTAGTATTCTGTGACGTCAGGAGATTCAACACGTAATATTACATGCCAACGTACCGTAAATTCGCGACACTTGACATAATGTCAGATTAGAATTTTTGTCCGCAGCTTTCGTAACGAAATAATGGTGTACTATTGGGTCAAGTGCGGTACGTAATAAAAATTTGGTTCCGCTGCTCGGCCTGGCCTTCACTGCGAGTGGTGTAATTGTCTTTTTTCTATGCCTGTTGTCTATTGCTGAAACGCGAAAGTTTTTATTGTGTACCATCACGCACGAGGTGACTGGTTATGGGATAACAATGGCATGGTCACTTCATGACCTTTGAATCGTTGTGGGAAGAACTCGTCTTCCTTTTTAGAAGAATAAAATTGTATTTCAAATGGCACCGCCTTTTCCCAGTCCCCGTTTTTGCTTCTGATTAATTTCTTTGCGCGCTACACGACAGTTTAATGAGTTCTCCAGAAGAAGGTCAAGATTACTGTACCCTTTTTTGTAACTGTATAACTAGAAGTTACCCTCTGTCTTGTGTCTTATTGGTAAAATATTTACCGACCTAAGTAAATACTCCACCGTGCTATTATTTCAGTCTCGATATTTCATTGGTAAAGTAATTGCTAACAAAACTGAAGTGCTAATTAATACTAACTCTTAAGAGTTGAAGTAATAAAGTATCCGGGCATTTATGAACTCTCGTGTCCCAGTAATGTTCAATGTTATTGAAATATACAACGCTTTATGTTCCTTCGTTTTATGCTAGCGTATCAAACGCTTGAGTCGTTTACACTCCGGGGAAATAGCTGTTTAATGAATTGTAGATTTCCAATATAGGATCGATCATTGCGTGGAGAATCCATCACGGTTTTGCGATGCGCTGATGTCGCTCGATGGTACCCTGATTTCATATTCTGAATGAGCGCGAATCGTTGTGCCATTGGTTGAATGATAACACATTGATGGCTATCTATCTTCCTTGTCACATGTTTAAACGTTATTTGCCATGTGTGTTATGCCGGTATTTTGTAATAAAACAATTTATTTATTTTTGTAAAAAATGTGTACAACTCAATTTTATGTCTTTTAATTTTAAGGTTCAGACGTAACTGGATTGTTTTACTGTCGTATGTCGTATACCCTAATCGTAAAGGCAACGGGCAATCTTTCCATAGAACTAATTTATTGTATAAAATCTCAGATTACTTGAGATTATACGTAAACTGTACAAAAGGATGAGTTGTACCATGCTAAAGGTCACCATAAAAGCAGATTCGAGTGTAGTCACTAATTGTCAAACTACTTTTTGCGGCATAACTTGTTTTACGAATGATTCTGTTGCTAGGGTGACGTAATAATGGGGTTTGTAGGTTCTTGTTTATAAATACATACATTCTTTTACTCATATTTGTCTTTAGGTTATTTAAAGGCTTACCTTGGATGGAAAGTTCCGTGTATTGTGAACTATTTCGATTCACTAACAAATTTCTAACACGCCGTTACGAGTTTACTTCCAGAAGTTAATTATATCCAGCGACCGAGCAGTTTCCTACCTGGAGAATTGGATTATTTAGTTTACCTCCATTTCTGGAAGCGTTTATAACAAAGTAAACCGCATGGAACTTTCAAATTGTGAATGGATTCAACCATATAGATAGGTACTAGTTATACTAGAGTTTACTGGACTATCTATTCCAATAAATATTTTTTGTCAATGACGTAATAGAAATTACCACATAACGTAATTTCACGCCTGTCTCCCATCCCCATGGGAGACAGGCGTGAAATTACGTTGGCAGAAACTATGGAACGCCAATTGCTACGATTCCTATACACCGCTTCATCAACAGTCATCAATCTTTTAATTAAGGGTACTTTTAATTTGGTCCTTACAGTCCGTCCCCCATTATTCTTATACAACTGTGTGTAAAGGTTAACATCAAATCGATTACGCTTTCATACCAGTTTCCACATTATTACCGTTCAAAGGCAGCGCTAATGGATATCAACTAGGGCTTTTATAACGTGTATAACTTTGTTTTCCGTACTACAAAGTGACATAATTTATTCTAGACCGTTAATGTTCGCTTACATGACTTTTAGGTCGAACGTAAATGTTTAAAAGGTTTCTGAGGGAATGAGATAAGTTATTGGGTTTTAATTACACTTTTAATGATAATTAATTGATGTTCAGCTCCATTAGGTTTTAGTATAATCGAATTTATTAGTTTTTGTTTATGTAAGACTTCATGCTTATAGGTTGCACATTTTCGAATCTATTTTATAGCATTTTTTTAAGGGGGGAAAATCATCGAATCGGCTTCTCCCGCCTGGGTGAGGCGGGAGGGAGTGTCAGACTCTTACTGAATAAAAACCACCCCGTTCCTTCTCCTGCACGTCGAGCCGGAGCCCCGGTTACCCGTTAGGTTCTCCGCGACTCCGAATTTTTAAAGCTTAGGACGTTATCTAATCTATGAATCTATTATGGCAACGCAATTGGTCACGTGGAGAAAAAGGAATTAAAATAAGCTTTAACACATTGATGTGAAGTTTTAGAATTGACTAACCAAATATGTTGGGTATAGTTAATGATTTCAAGGCTGTTACTAACCGATATCAATGAAATCCGATACTAATACAATATTGATTTTAAAGTAGGCTAAATATCTAATGACATTCAATAGTGTATAGAAAACTAATATGCTATTGAACAATAATCATGTGTTTAATGTCCGAATTGTGTCTGGATTAGATATTACGATCATATTACTTTAATTACATCTGTTTATTTATCAGTTTATTGGCATAAGTTTACTATAATGCCCATGAATGACGTTTGACGCTATTTTGTTAGAAAAAATAGTTGATGTTAGCGAAGACTGATAAGATAAATCAACCTTCACTATCACTACGCGCCCATGAACCGTAAGTTATGCGTCATGGTTGTAAAGAATGAATGAGGTTGGGAAGTTGGGGCTTTTGTCTATGGGTTAAATACTACGACTACGCTAGTTATGCTTATGATACAGGAGTAGTAAAATTGTGAACAAAACAAGTTTTTTCTCTGAAGGTCCAGGCAGTAGAAATGTTACATTACCTACATTATTATTTGTCAGTTATGAATGTCATGACGTAATAAAAACATAGCTTTTTTTGAGAGTGGAATATCATCCAATTACTTCTCTCGCCTCACCCGGGCGAGAGTGTCAGACTCCTTACTGATTAAAAACCACCCCGTTCCTACTCCTGCACTTCGAGCCGGAGCCTCTGTAACCTGTTAAGTCCTCCGCGGCTCCGTAAAACTTATAACTTAAGCGCAGAATTTTAATTGAAACTCCGTGCTAGTTATTAAGACTACTGAGAATTTCGAAAATCCAAAAAGGTCCTAAAACTGTTCTTTTAGAATAAAACGAACCCGAGATGAGACGAAACTTTCAGCACATCTTTGAATACCAATTGTTTGATAGTTTTTCCAGATTTTCTCTAGCTCATAAGATATCTTAGTAGAATATTAACCAATACTCTTTGTTTCCAGATCTAGTCCACTGCACAAACGAGCCCAACGTGTCGATACCACAGCTCGCCAACCTGCTGGTAGAGCGTACACAGAACACTAATTGGGTGGTGGTGTATAAAGCTCTAATAACTGTACATCATCTACTAGCATATGGGAATGAGGTGAGGACTATGTTTAATTACCATGTAGAAAATTAGAAAGTGTTCATATTGTGCTGATCAATGTTCATTGAATATTTGGTTACTCCATTGAAAAAGAACGATGTGAATGTATGATGATTTGGAAATGTGGTGATAAAAGCTTTTTACCAGATGTGGCTGAATTTTGGTATACAGAAGTTGGGGTTGTCTGCCTTCTAAGACTAGCTTGCTTGGTATTAAAATTCATAGCTCTGAAAACAACTTATTTGGATTATGTGTTTTATTATTGGCTGAGCGACAATCAGACATATTTCTTCATGAATTACAGCAGCATTTCGGTGCTAAAAACAATCACATTTGTAGTTGTAGGATGTGGTACTTGACGGGCCATTCACATGGAAACAATCAATCAATTCCGTAACCATGCAATCGGTCCTTTGGTTGCCCAGCCATATGTTCTTCGTCAAGTAAGACGTGAGCACATTTCAAACGTGAACGTAGCCAATGAAATTGTTCAATGGAGCTACGTCGGATTTCCGACACGGTACACATTGGCACATCAAACGGCTAATTGTGTACAAAGCCTTAGTTACGTAGGAACTGAACCAACCGGGCTGCTCTTATATGGAAATTGGTTAACCGGCTTCAGTTTGGAGTTTATTAAGTCTGGAGCTTTGCTAACAGATTTTTGCTACGGTGATTCTGACATCGTAGCAAGCAACTGACTGATTATTTATCGACATTAGCATCAGGTCCAATGGCGATAGTGTATATCGAACGAATGACTGATGTTAGCGTAAAATTAATGCTAAAAACTAAATAGAGAAAGTCACCACTGCACTAATTCCCTTCCATTCACCAATGGTAAATGCCGACCGTCTTTAAAATTAATCCTGAAAGCAAAGCAGCACGATAATTATCGAGTCGTGACGTCAGCAAACACAAAAGGGGCAGATACCCACGTACCCTACATTTCCGATGCCAGTATAATTCCTTATAATCAGATGGAGGAGTTTCACCCTTTGTGAGTCACAATTAACCTACCAACTTATTGGAAAATGGGAATTTCTGTGATGGAAAAACCGAATGCATTTTCTCTTGCATAAATATTAAATAGTTTTTGCATTCATGCTCTATTAGGAGTTTATTCTTGTCATTTTGCTTTAATGTAGTCGATAGATATTTCACAGTGTAGTTAGTGTGATGTGACGCTTCGTCTCCTTCATCATCTTTACCCATAAAGGTGAAAGAAGTCTTCATTTCGAGTCCCCATGTCAATCTTAGTTAAAAGTTCCAAGTAATTAAAAATCTTCTATTGCATTTTAACTAATGTTGGGGCTAAATCACATTTCGTGAGAAGTGGGCGTACTACCTGAGCACTTAGTATATCACGAGAACGTTAATTTGGAGATAATTTCATAGCCGACTCCATCAGTACCTCGCTAACTTGCTTTGATCCAATCATCTTGTGTTCAAACATCCCATAATGTCTCTATAAACTTGTGTATACAGGTAAAGCTCTGATAAACTGTTTACGCGTTTTTTTACTATCAACACTAGCACGCTTTCCTCCCAAAGAATTTTACGATGCCATCTGTTATTATGGATATTACCTTTTTTAAAGTCTTTTTAGTCTTGTGTGTTTGATGAAACGATTTATGACTTTCGGTTCTGTTGCTCTGAATGAGGTGGACAATTTAATCTGCATTAAAACTTACATCTGTTAGCAGCTACCTTTCATCAAAAAATGACCCTAAAGCATGTCTATAGTCAATGCTTATTAAGAAAATTTAAGTAATGAATTTCTAATGAAGCCACATTTTTTATTATCTTCCTTGTTCTACGTATTTTATTAGGAGTAGAGTTTCAAGGGTACATTTTTCTCAAAACGTGGATAATATTCATTGTAAACGCAAGTGTTGTTTGATTGTTTGTCACATAATTTATGTATGAATGCTTGTTTATTCCCACGTAGACCCAGCTGAATGTACTTTGTGAATAAAACCAGGTATTTATCAATGAGTCACGATTTTGCCATAGCTGGTATGTGTAAAGTTTATGGGGCTTATACTTATTTATATGGAATAAACGACTTAATATAGCAAAACTAGAACTATGGAATTATTTTCGACCTTTTGTCTATTAAAGGTCTCTGATAGATACTCAGTATCTTTGATCTAGTTACGGGCAAGTGTTTTGTTCTCCAAGTCTAGGATGTTCTATTAGGTTTTAAAAATTTACAGAAATATGGTTTACTTTTTGATAGTTGTATAATTTTTTTCGATTTAACGTGGCCTCTACCAAACTGTCATTCAATTTAGAGTCCATGATATCAAGATTTCGATTCGCTTAACCATCATACCGATCCATTATAACAACGTCTTGATTTGATTCTTGCTTCCATTACCAGAATTTGCTTTGATGCTGTTACGCCCATTATATTATATTCATGCGCAAACATACTCTCGTTTGCTTATCTCATTCTAATGTAATTCCATCTTTCCTTTTACGATACTCAAGGGAATGTATCTTCGCTTTTGTGGGATATCTTAAGTAGGAGTGGTCTGGAAAAAGGAACTAAAGATCAATTTTAATCGAGCCTTTAGCACTTGACCTAAATATGATAATGAAAAAAATCAATACCGTCTGGAGTCAACCGATCAATGCGCAGTCCATGAACTCGGTACTGATTAATGTGAATCACTCAATTTCTCGCCTATCAAATCACGGTATGGAGGTCAAGACGTTTATCATCATTTCGGAAAACATGATCTCGATCGGGGACTTTTTAATGTTGATTCGTAGAACCTTGTTCAGTCCCCTTATCTGTCAATGTCAACAGCTGGAAAAGTAATGAAATCGCCGTATGCGCATACCGTAAATGCAAAAACTGATTAACTTAGGCTAATCTGAGAGCCCGGATATCGTAAATTTTTAATTGTTTAATGGAATTGCTGGTTTTCATTCACTTATTTTGTTGTCAAGGAAAATTCCGGTTGTTAATGAAATCTGTGTAAGGTTGAATTTAATCTATCCCTGAAAATTAAACTAGCAGTAATCGAATCGCTTTACATTTTTTATCAGCATGAAGATTGAAATTAACTTCAAATGCTTTAATGTATAAGCGTTTGAGCTTAAGTCGGTTAAAAATGAATGTTCAATGATAAAGTCCTTGAGAAAAAGTTGACATAGATACGAAAGAGAACGTCTTAATGATGCAGCGTCTTCTCGATATCAATCAGATGCTTCTCGTGACCCCTTACTATACAAGGTAGTTAATCACCCAGACGTGTATGTCGTAATACAATGACAGGCGAGAGGCGGGGCTCTACGTAATTTGCACCTCGACAACTTTGCAAAAAAAAAAATACAAACGTCATAGTCACTGACAGCTAGTTGCAGTGTTGCCAAGTGCGGAAAAAGTTTGCGTATTTTTGAATGCTAAAAACGTCATGCGGAGGTGTTTCTTTTTTTTAAATGTTGGAGATATGAAAAGCGACGTTCTATTTATTTTTTATTTACGGTCAGATGAATAGGCATACTGTGCTTGTTTACGTGATGGGATATGAATATACGTAGCTTGTTTACTGCGGTTCTGTATTTTGCTTTGAACCAGTTGTTTACTATTTTTCATTTTTACTTTTGTATATAAAAATCGCAATTTTTAACGACATTTATTTGAAAAGGCCTTTCATCTCATAAGTACATACGTAGTAGCGTAAATAAAACTTCATATTATTCACACGAGCCTGACAGATTATTTTCACTGTTGTTGCACAATTTTTTTTCAAACTCGTGCCTTATCAAATATTAATTTACTGCGTCACGCTATGGGTATTAATTTTCCATACAAATAGCGGCCCAAGCGCAACGAAGTACATAATGCCATTATGTAATTTATTTCCTGTAATATTTTTGTCACCATGTCACTATTATTGCATTTCGTCATCTGTTTTGTAATGGTAGATGACGTCTCGATTCCCGTACTTTTTCATAAAAACATTTGGTAGGGTTAATGAAGGGCGAAATAAATGTAGCTGTACATACTCTAGTTGTTCTTTTCGTTCGTTTTTAAATCCTATTAACACTGGTTGTTCCTCGATTCGGTAATTGATCGACTCTAGGACATTATTGATAATCATCGTCAAGTCAGTCACACAGACATCCATTACTGATGGTTTCCGGATCGGCCGGTTGATTGACCTGCATCCAGCTGTTCCTTGCGTGCGACCTTACTAACAATGGCATTTCCAAACAAGACTATTAAATCTTTAACTAATTTAATAAAGGCATTATCTATAATGTACCACATAACTGCATAAGCATCACAATGTGTCCAGTATTAGAAACTTGCCTTCAAATACCAGTTTAAATTCTCACGGAGCGACAGCCACCCCATACAGCTGTGACAGTGTCTGACAATTACGCAGGCTATCAGCTAGCCTCATCATTCCCAGCTATTAAAACACGCAATTAACAGCCAAGTGTCTATAGATTTAAATAGCACTTTAGTCTCATTTTCGCGTGACATTTCCATGATTTACATAAGTGAGTGGTTGCTGTTATTTATATGTGAGGTTAACTGGTATTAGTATAGTCTTCATAGTCTGGTTAATCAGACGTTCTAATGAAATGGACCCTAGAGAAATGGTAGTATTTATTATTATGTAGTCTTTCGACAAAACCACCAATTTTGCAGACTGCTTAGGGAAGTGTAGAGAAACTATTTTAAACATGACTCCCAAGATTATTAGTTTTCGTAAATGTGCGGTACAGATGCTATGTGTGATCAAATTCGAATTCTCCAATATCGATTCTCGATTTAATATAAAACTGCATCCATGTTGGCAACCCCCAAACACTAGTTTCCAGCTGAACTTCAGCTTATGATATAGAATACAGGTTATAGACTGCTGTTAGCTAAAATGTATTAATCAAAAGCGCTACTGGTTCTGGATTTGACCCTCGATTTGGAAAAGTATTATAATTCGATCAATGGGAACTTTTGTTTGCAAATTTCATAAAAGACGTGGTGATGTAATTATTGCACAATTTCGCGTTATAGGACCGTTGATACGTAGTGAAAATTGAAACAAAATGGATTATCTTAGCGTATCGGTTATTGAAACTGCTAAAATCAATTAACTGAAAAAAAAACACCCATTTTATTGACATCGTGTATTATCATGTTGCTAAGCAGTCAGGGGGCGTGTATGATATGACTTATATTGCAGTCATTTAGATAGGTATGTAATGGTGAACTAAATTAAATAGTAGGTACTTATCTACATATTACATTGTTTATGCAGAAGTAACTGTGTATTTGAAGACTGGGGAAGAACTTCCAGATTATAATTTGAACCTATCGAGCGCAGCCTCGATTTTGTCCGGATCATAAATGCATAAAACCATTAACATGACTTCGTATAGACATAGCTACCAGGCTAAGGAAGTGGAAACTGTAGTTTTTTTTCTTCTCTTATAATATCTTCTGATTCACTTCGTTGCGTTACGATGTCCCTGGGACGCGCCGGACTTCAGTGTTTCGGTGTTTTCATGGTTGTATCTACTGTAGATCCTGGCTAACAGGAGTTGCAGTGGTTTTGGGAAGTTGTAGCGGGATTGCCCCAATAAAAAAAATGCTATTAAGCAAATATCAGTTAACTAGCTTCTTCTAGCTTTCGCTCGCGCTCCCGTGGGATAAAAAGTAGCCTATGTCTTATTCCAGAGCATATTCTACCTCTACCCCTGCTCTAAATCTATCTGTTTTGACATGATTGTGTAACAATCAGACACATGAACACACAAACACACACATTTATGATATTAGTAAGATTCACAGTAAATTATACCTGAAGTGGAAATGTGTACCTGCCTGTAAACATTTGCGAGGAAAAACGATCGTCATATACTTAAAGTTGTTATTTGTGAGACACTTTCCAATAAAACCTAGCCTTTCAATACGCCTACGTGTCTACGTTATTATTTGTCGGGTGGGTGTATGATCTCCATATGTAGGGAGTGTGTGGGATGAAACCTCTGGAATATTCTGCTAAAAGTTCACGTGGAAATTGGAAACAGAGTTTACCTAGATACTGTCAACTTCTATGAAGTAAAAGTTTATTGATTAATGACCTTTTGTCTTAGAGAAGATGTCAATAAGATTTCGTTGCTTGAAGACCGTTTAAATGGCATCATTCTTCGAATGATTTGGTTAATCGTATCGGTTTTTAATTGCTGTCTGGTCGTGCCGATTGATTTGTAGTCTTAAACTAAAGATAATATTCTAGCTCAGGTTTATTAGTCTTCGTTTTACACTTTGCTAGGTATATGAACAGATTAAAGTGAGAAATTGGTGTAACGTTGATGATAATCTACTACAATTCTTTCGACGGCAAACGAAATATAGTTACATAATCTTATTATCGCAAGTAAAACTATATTAGGTGTTATTCGTCATAGTTCCTATATATGTATGTATGTATATTATTTAGCCACGTTGGTAGGTATATAGTCAGAAGGATTTACTTTAACGACTCCTACAAATAAAATGTCTACAATGCGACCACTTGTGTCAATAAACGATGTCTATCTGAATGTGAAGTGTACTTGTGTGATGGAACTAAGGATTTGTCGAAGACAAATACTTTGTGAATTGTGTGTCCATGTGAGTTTTTATTGTTCTTATAATGATTGGGTAATTGATGTAGAAATATGTGTTTATTATAAATAAACACATTTCTACATTTATTAGGTAATTTGTAGGTACTAAAGTTTTATTCAATTGCTTAAGTAATGGGAAAAGATTTATTGCATATTTCCTCGTTTAATCGTAACACTTTGGGCTTATTATATGTAAAATGGTATTGAAAACGGTTATACGGAAAAACCTTGACCTCAATTAGTCAATGGAAACTACCACCCATGTTTTATCGAGAATTCCTTGGAAACTTCAGTCGAGTTGCAATAGTACGAGAGCTCGCAATACCTACGATCACTATGTATGCGAAGTGTCGCTCTTCGTTGTGAAAAATAGTCGCAATATCTACTCCAATTATTATGTCTTTAGAATTAGCAATTGGACTATTGAAGGAGATTGGAAAATTGCTTGAGACCCTACGGGACCAAAGGCACATGATGATATTATTTTCGCACGAAAATATATCCGTTTCAATCCGAACTAAGAATAGACCTTATTATGTAGGCGGGTTGGTTATTTTGGGGATGGAATTGCTAAATCACGTGTAATCCGTGATTCGCATTAAGTTGTACTCTGTTATTCAATTTGCTTGGACGCGTGTGAGTTTGTGTTAACGTATATTATGCTGTAATAGTTAGTTTTATTTTGTAAGGAAAATGGTTAATTATACATTGTATATCGATAGTAGGACTTTCTTATACTGTGACAGTAATTAGTGTAATGTTTATTTTAGTAGAAAATATCTAGGTATATAAAGTTTCTAGGCTATCTTTAAATTGGAATGAAAATACCATTTTCGCTACTTTTTCATTCGAAACTAATATTAGGTATCTCTAAAATACATTTATGTATGTAAAAAATCTAAACACATTTCACAGCGCGTTTTACGCCCGCGGCGGGCGGTTGTGATCGTTTGCGGCTCCCGCAACCGTGGCGGGCGCGGGAGAAAATCGCGTCTTGTCGTTAGCCTAAGGTTACTAATACTACTACTAAATGTTGATGGGGCGGGAGGAAACGGCCGGGTGTCATCACTTCGAGGACCGCCCTGAAGACATGGTGGAACACACACGCTCCGGCTCGAAGGGCAGGAGTAGGAACGGGGTGGTTTTTAGTCAGTAAGAGTCTGACACACATGGCGGGAGCAGTCATTCAATGACTTCCCCCTTAAAAAAAGGTTACTAAATCTTAGGGAACTACATAATATGGTTTCTCATCGTGGCATAATTACCTAAAAATCCTGCACCCTGTTATCAGTGGCCTGGTTTGATTCCTGCGATGCAGATACCAAAGCCACTAGTCACTGAAGTAGAGATAAAGATATATTGCCCGATTTAGTAAATACGTAGCGCTTGTCAGTATTAGTTAATATTATAAACAGGAAACTTTTGTATATTTGTTTGTAAATAATAAATAACACATGAAAGAAAACTCATAAAATACGAAGCGATGGTTCAAAAGGTACTGTTTGACCTGGAAATGGTTCCGTCATATAACATCTCGTGTCGTCTAAAAATACAACGTAACAAACTGAACGCGCCTTGTTTTCCATGTGCATCAGCTGTTTGTGATTCTAGTGTTTTATAGGTTTGGTGTCATAATATTTCATAGTTTGAATTTACGTTCCCATTAGATTGATATTAGTCAGTCTTAGTCATTCCATCGTATACGAGTTACGATGGTGCCGCATTGTCTGAATGTCATGCGCAGGCGCAGATTAAACAGGCGCGGCCGCAGTAAAGATATTTTGGTTTGGCGTGATGTCTACTATTACTCTATTGAATTAATATAGGTACCGACCCAATGAGGACTTCGAACTACAAGAGTGTTGCTGGTCTTTATAAAGGAGTATATTCTTGAAGCTCCTATCGAATTGAAGTTACCAAAGCCGAGAGTTCCACAATTTCTTACTGTTCTTATTGTTATCATTTAGACAAGCACTCTTTGAAAATCTTTTAAAAGTGCTTTAAAAACTGCGCTATACTTATTTGTCCTGTTAATATTTCCGCCACACTTCTAAAAATATAACGTATGCACATCAGGTGTTTGTGTTTCTAGTCGTTTATAGGGATCGCCGAAATGTGTTTGTTGTTATAATATTTGATAGTCTGAAAGGGATGCTGTGTTTGCATGTGGATGTTGTGTTTCCTTAGCTTGTTTTCGCACGTTTATTGAAAATACACGAATGAAATATTGGCATGCTTGTAAGTCATATTGCGAAAAGATGGATAGAATATAAAAAAGATCTGATAGGGAACAATGGAAACAGGAGACTTTGTGCAGCCCTCAAGTAAGTAGCTTGGGATAAGAAGGAGGATGACCTTATAGCTATACTTACTAAGTATCGTCGCGAAGAACCTAACGGGTTACCGGGGCTCCGGCTCGAAGCGCAGGAGTAGGAACGGGGTGGTGTTTAGTCAGTAAGAGTCTGACACTCCATCCCGCCTCACCCAGGAAGCCAACCCGGGAAGTCATTCGATGATTTTCCCCCCTTAAAAAAAATACTTACTAAGTATAACAATTATTTTTCGACAGACATGTTATGAACGAGTTCCATGTAATAAGGTGCGAGTAGATACTGTGCTTCACTACATAGTATAAAACAAAGTCGCTATCCGCCGTCTGTCTGTCCCTATGTATGCTTAGATCTTTAAAACTACGCAATGCATTTTGATGCGGTTTTTTAAACGGTTTTTTAATAGATAGAGTGATTCTTAAGGAAGGTTTATATGTAGTAAGAAATGCATATTGCACCCGTGCGAAGCCGGGGCGGGTCGCTAGTAATATGATAATGCACACTCCATGTTTAAATTATGTTCTGTTTCGTGCAATATTTGTGAACTTTATGCCCAATATTAATATGTGTTATTTCTATTTTTCAGAGGTTCACACAATATCTAGCATCGAGTAATTCAACATTTCAACTTAGCAATTTTCTAGACAAAAGCGGCGTACAAGGTATGTACAGAACATGTTTTAGTTACTACATATAAACAAATATCAAGTTAAAATACTGCAAATGATGTTATACCTAATATTTTAATTGGTACGTTATTGTTCAATGTACCTATTTTATTTATGCATCGAATATTATTTGTACGGGATTATTACAACTGAATAAGGAAATCATTACGAACATGATAACAACTCCAATTATGTAATTAATCCATTTATGGAATATTTATACTAAATTAAGTATCATTCAGTTTACTTACGCACGAATAAAAATAACAAAAATCTTAATCTTGTCAAGGTTAAGGTTTTGCTATTCTATTCTCTATCGCTATGACATCAAATGTTATTAAAACTTGTTAGATCTCGTTCACAAAGCTTAATATCGAAAACCTCATTCGATATGTACCTTAATGTCTGGATATTAGTTTAATACCTCATGTCGCAGATATTGGAAATGGATATCGACAGCGACCTTACCATTTTACGAATAAGTTGGTACATCATATAAACTTTACTAGATGCGACTGAATGTCAATATTTTACGTTGAAGGACGTTTTATGGCTCTTCTAGAAGGGGATATAGGGATAGTATGAATTTTAGGCTGCTGACTACGTATAGCAACCAGGTGTTTTAGACTTTATGGGCTTGATACTTTTACACTCTTTTTGAGGGGGGAAATCCATCAAAGTCAAAGCATTTATTTCGAATCATCCAATGGCTACTCCCGCCTTGGGTTAGGCGAGTGGTAGTGTAAGACTCTTACTGACTAAAAACCATCTCTTTCCTACTCCTGCTCTTCGAGCCGGAGCCCTGGCAACCCGTTAGACATTCGACGGCTCCGTATCGGGCATCAGGCCTATTGGGCTGTGGCTATCTATGGTGGTGATATTCTTACATAAATCAGTAAGAGTCTGACACTCCCTCTCAACTCACCAAAGGTGGGAGAAGTAATTGGATAACTTCCCCTCTGAAAAAAAAAGTCTAGAAAAGTCTATCTCTAGAGTAAGTCTATCCTTAGCCACAATTTTAACCAACCCGTTGAAATTCATACCCTAAATTTGTTCATACAAAAGTAGTCTCTAAACATTGGAAATAAGGTCTATAATGTAATGTAATATTAGTGGAGAGCGGTCACCGGTGACCGCTTGGGGATCTAAGTTCAAATTGTATTAGAAAAAAAAACAGGCGTACTTCGGCAGATTGCGTGTTAAAAAATAGTAGCGTGCTTAGAATGTTAATAGAACATAATTTATTATTATTGTAACGAATTTCCTCATTTCTTTTTTGCTATAAATTAAGTAATCACTTTACACTTGACCTATTTTTCAAGTACTGCCGAAAAATAAGTAAATAATATGCTGTGTCGGCAAAAAATTACATAATACGAGTAACAATCCACTGCAGACGTTTTAGCGTCACATTTATAAGTGGTTTGGTAAATATTTGGTCAGAAATCATAAAACTGTTAAGAGGTATCAAGTATTATTTGAGAGAAGTTTCAAAGTGTCTCTGGCTTAACATGAATCACACAAAATAATATCTGCCTCGTTGGCCGAGTGGTCGCAAGTGCGACTGCCGGGCAAGGGGTCTCGGGTTCGATTCCCGGGTCGGGCAAAGTATTACTGGGTTTTTTTAAAAAAACTCAGTAGTAGCACGGAGTCTGGAATTGTCCCGGTATATGGCAATAGGCTTACCCCCTATTATATGGGACTCATAACATAAATAGTGAAAAGTGGGTGTTACATTGTACAGTGGCATAATGTGCACCTCTGCCTACCCCTTCGGGCATAAAAGGCGTGTTGTTATATATGTATGTAGCTTCTAGTTATCACACCAAGATTTACAATTATCAAAATCAAGTCCTTTAGTCATGTCATACAGTCTTCCAAGTTCTTATTACAATTCGATTTTGTGGTTTCTCTCAATGTCCGGTTATGTCCGGAAACACTGTGTCTGTATTTGTACTTACACATTCCTATGTACTATACTCATTCATTCGCAGTTGGCAAGTCTCATTCATTCATTTCTGCACCAGAGCAGCTGCTCTGGTGCAGAAATTGTAATCTGTCTGGAAACATACATTATTGTTTTGGCCTACTGAAAGAAGAATGAGTAGCCATAATCGACTAGAGTGTAAGATCTCACCATTACGAGTATGTCAGTTTGGTAATCGATACACATAATCTTAGGTGCTACTAAATCGACTTTTTTTGTGATCGATATTCCGATTACCGAGCGAGTGAACCGGGCGGGAGCAGATAATGACATTAAAAAATCATGCATCTATTACCAATAGGGTAGATGCCTAATTTTTATTTCAATGTCCGTCTGGACACGTATTTTTTATTTTCTTACAGAAATGAAAACTTTCGACGATATACTGATTTGAAATGTCGCGTGACGTCACTTCTATGTACATTTTATACGTAGAAATGACGTTTTAGCCCCCACTCCTAAACTTTGATTCGTTTTATCTAAGTATTGTTTTATTATACGACAAAATAAAAAAATATGTGTCAAATATTTTTTCATAACCTAACTGACGGACTAATTAGTTTTTTAATTTTCATACCCTGTCATCATCTCATGGCACATGTCCTCTAGAAATCGATGCCCACCCGTAACTACCATTTCACACTGACTTAATTTGCGGCAGATTCGTGAAGCCGTAGTAATGCGGATGGTGGCCAATGTTATGCAACTATACACAAACAAGCTATGTAGTTTTACGTTGTACACAGCGAAATGTACAAAACCATTTTATCATGGTCTAGCTTTGTATGATCTTCCCGCCCCTTCTTCGGTCAGTTTATACTGGTTTGCTTAGCTTGATTTGTAGCTATTGTACGTCATTAGTTCATTACATAGTGCGATGCCAACTGCCAAGTAATCTTGGCGCCCTATAGGCTATGTTAAAGTAGTTCTTTGTCTAAATTGGGTTGAATTTTTTTCGTCTGGCGTGTGATAGTGACTTGGTTTTTGGATCTGTCTCGATGGCTGTGTAGAGCCGTAAATTCGAGTGCTATACATGAGTCATGACGTCTTGGTTTCAATTCCTGACTTCCAGCTTTTCGATGTAAAACGTGCTGAATGATAAATGGAGCTAAGTTAGGTTTGAATGGTATTGGGAATTTTGCCTAATGCGTAAATGAATTGAATACTTGCTCCCCTCGTATTTGACTATGACGTAACCTATCACTATGCCAACCGAGCGTTGCAAGTAACAATGTTCCGCTTTGAAGAATATGGCTACTATAGTGTAGTACATTCATGGTATTGCACTTGCATATGTGATGGGAAATGAATTATTGATGCATCCGGAACTATAAACGGTCACTGTTTTGAAGTAACCAATCACAGAATAAAAGAATAGTGGGCGTAATATCCACCAATACCAATCTAAGAACTGGCGCAGTACATGTCGCGCATTCGATTTTTGAACGAAACAACAGTTTTTAAAAAATGCTAATTGTTCCATCGAGACTAAATACGATGTGTATGTAAAAAGTATCTGTTTGTTGCATTACGCAAAGATTAATTATCATGAAAGAGAAGCTTTCAGTACCCTCATTCATTAATCTACTTTATTAGCCACTAACACCTATTTTCACACAACTTACTAACCTAGGTCTTATGAACTATATTAGTCTAGCAACGTAGGCGTATCGGTTACGTTTCGCTGACGTATGTATGTATGTGGGTACTATACTCAACGATATGACCAGTGACCTTTAAGGTCAACGACACCGTGGCCTCAGCTCACTCGCTAGAATATTTTTACTAGTAAAATTTTTATATTATATCATATTTATGTATGTATGTATGTTATATGTAAATGTAGATATGATCGTCACGTTTGCTGTGTTGTGAATTAATTTATTTAGGATTTAATTTATTTAGGTAAAATGTCTCGTTGGTTTAGTGATCGCAAGCTCAGCAACAGAGCAAAGCGTCTAGAGCTGTGTAGGCTTTCAATATTTTTTGTGGTTCCATAGAATCTGGAATGGTTAGTAGAAACTCGAGGAACTATCGTAAAGACATTTTGAAATCGGCTGCAAAACAATTTTCTTTTTCTTTAATAAAAAAAACATTCATCTTGTTATTAGTTAATTAAATGATTAGTAATATTGTTGGCACAATTGATATCGTTTATTGCGTGAATGTATTGTAAACAAAACTATTTATTTTTATTGTGGTCATTATTCTAAGTAAAACACAGTGTATCCAGCGAGTGAATGAATGATTTTTATTTTGAATCTGTAACACATAATTCTCACACCAGGTGGCAGCACATACAACACAATACTCATCTTGACATTAATAAATCCAACACCCCCACTATATCAAAATAAACAATACATTGTACAACACTTACCATCATTTCATGACCAATTTGATACAATCCTGTATACCTAACATTTTCATGAAATAATAATGCTTTACACGATTCAATCCTTTTGTCAACAAATCAGCTGGCATTTCTGAAGTAGGTATATAATCTAATTTAATTATTTTATTGGCAATGCTTTCTCTACAGAAATGATAGCGCACATCAATATGCTTAGATCTCCTATGATAGATGGGATTTGTAGCTAATTTAATTGCACTTTGGTTATCGTTATATAACAAGATACTGTATGGTTCATTAGTAATTTCAAACTGTAAAGACCTGAGATACATAGCCTCTTTACAAGCTTCAGATAATCCCATGTATTCAGCCTCTGTGCTCGAGAGTGCCACAGTTCTCTGTTTCTTACATTGCCATGAGATCACACATCCGGACAAAACAAAACTATAGCCAGTATATGACCTTCTGTCCACGGTGTTTGAAGCCCAGTCTGCATCAACAAAACCTTTTATCTTATTATTTTCACTATTTTTACTATATACCAGGCCATAATTCTGAGTTTCCTTTAAATACCTAAGAACTCTTTTTGCATAAGACCAATGTTTATTTGTGTAACAATTATTAAACTGACTCAAATATCCTACAGCATATGCA